GGCATCAATCCAAGCTCACAGCAACCTCAAGCTCCTGGGCTCAAGCGATTCCCCACCCTCAGTCTACTGAGTAGCTGGGCACCACCATGCCTGGCTACTTTTTTTGTGTTTTTGGTAGAGATGGGGTCTCACTTTGCTGAGGCTGGTCTCAAATTCCTAAGCTCAAGCTACCCTCCCACCTAGGCTTCCCAGAGTGCTAGGATTACAGGCATCAGCCACCATGCCTGACCTATTATCATTTTAGACATATAGGGGATTTATGGGTAAGTAAAGGTATAAGATTATGTAGCATGGGTATGAACCTGGAAAAGTAGCTTAAGCTGAGAAAGGGGGTGGACAAAAAAATTGTTTAAGAGAAGAGAGAGTGGAATACAGCAGCAGTCTAGGAGACAGGATCTCTGGCTTTTTCCCCCTCCTTCTAGACTATCCTGACACATTTCTTTTGGCCAAAAGAGGTTGGCGATTACTTGAGCACAGTCACACTTGACCCTGCTCCCAGGGTACTTCCATATTTCTACACCTTTAATGCTGGCTTCTATAGTTTTTTGGGTTTTGTTGGGTTTTTTTGTTTGTTTTGTTTTTTTCTGAGATAGAGTTTCACTCTGTAGTCTTGGGTAGAGTGTCATGGCATCAGCTCACAGCAACCTCAAACTCTTGGGCTCTAGTGATCCTCTTGCCTTATCCTCCTGAGTAGCTGGGACTACAGGCACATGCCACCACACCTGGATAGTTTTTTCCATTTTTAGTAGAGATGGGGTCTCACCCTTGCTCAGGCTGGTCTCAATCTCCTCGGCAATCCACCCACCTTAGCCTCCCAAAGTGCTGGAACTATAAGACGTAAGCCATTATGCCTGGCCAATGTTGTGATTATTATTGACAGGAGGCCTCCCTCTTGGACTTGGAGATGCTTGGTGATAGAGACTATGTCTCAGGCAGGTTTTTGATATCTTCACAGGGTGGCTGGCATCTGATAAGCATCTGCAAATCTTTACTGAGTTACAACATCTCTAAACCTGCATCTCTTTCTGTAAAAGGAGATGAATGCTACCTTTATTGGTGTTCCAGGTTTCTTGTAAAGATTCAGTTTGTGAAAAAGCTTTGAAATTGATGAGGTATTTTATTTGTGTAATTAAAAGGAGATATTACTAATGAATCATAGTCCTAAAACAAAGTTAGGGTTTTGTTGTCTTTATCATTTTAATAGTTTGAACAAGTAGAGTTTGTAGAAAGTGGGACTCACTCTCTCTATTCTCTGACCTTCCCCATCCCCATTCAGTGGGGGAGATAAACTTCTAATTCAGAATATAGTAATTTCAAAATGGGATACCTTCTTCATAGCACTCGTATTTGCCTGAGTGAGAAATTGCTTAAAATTTAGAGTTGTCATTGTGCTACGTAGGTTAAAGAAAAAAGTTTAACCGAGAAAAGATGTTGCCTTCATGGGAACTGATAGTAATACATGGATAATCTGAAAAATCCTGCACACCTTCCCTTCAGTCTGTTGAAAGTGTCTCCTTACCTTTTTTCATAAATCACATATGATTTTCTTGTCTTGTCTTTTTTTTTTTTTTTTTTTTGAGATAGAGTTGCACTCTGTTGCTCTGGGTAGAGTGCTGTGGCATCATAGCTCACAGCAACCTCAAGCTCGTGGGCTTAAGAGATCCTCTTGCCTTAGCCTCCTGAGTAGCTGAGACCACAGGCACGTGCCATTACATCCAGCTAGTTTTTTCTATTTTTAGTAGAGACAGGGTCTCACTCTTGCTCAGGTTGGTCTCAAACTACCAAACTCAGGGGATCCACCTGCCCTGGCCTCCTAGAGTGCTAGATTTTATTTATTTATTTATTTATTTATTTTTGAGACAATCTCATTTTGTTACCCTTAGTAGAGTACCTTTGTGTCATAGCTCACAAACTCTTGGACTTAAGTCACTGGTTCTCAACCTGTGGGTCACAACCCACAGGAACTGTATTAAAGGGTCATGGCTTTAGGAAGGTTGAGAACCACTGGCTTAAAGTGATTTTCTTGCCTCCACTTCCTAAGTAGCTGGGACTACTGGCACTAAAAAAATGCCTGGCTATTTTTAGAGGTGAGATATCGCTCTGGCTCAGGTTGGTCTCCAACCTGTGAGCTCAGGCAATCCACCTGCCTTGACCTCCAGAATGCGTGGGTTACAGGTGTGAGCTAATACTACGTGTGCCTCACTTGTGATTTTATTCTCCAGCTTCCTCACTGAATTCTCATCAGCAACAATTGTGATTGGGGTTGGGCTTCAGGGAGGGTTCTGGTCAGAGTATGCAATGATTTCTTTTTAGAGGACACATTTGCTGAATTTCTGTTAAGGATTTCTAAGAGGGAAACAAGACATAGCAGTGTTCTTGCTTCCTAACTTTTCTGGCTGTTTCAACCTTCTTGACTTTAGGGAGTCTTCTTCAGATTAAGATGAAGATGAAAGATAGCAGTACATGGAACCTCGCTTTTAGACCTACCCCCTCAACTATGAGTTCATACATGTGGCTTCTGAAAGCATATTAGAATGTTCTTGGATGGAAGTGAGATTACTGGGGTATATAACCTAGATTTTTAAAAAGGAATTAATTTCAAAATCTTTGTACTTCCCCTATTACTGTAAAAAATTACTGGGACACCCCTCACAGCTGATTTTGGCACATTGATAATGCACAGAATCTTGGAGCTGTTGTCCCTAAACTGCTTTAAAAACATGGACAATGGTATAAGGTTTGTTCTTTGTTTTAGTAGCCTGCAGTGAATCAGAGAGGAAATTCCAACACAATTGGCTACATTTGTCCTACTACTTCTACTTTATTCTGGTCAATAGGTCTACTCTGTAGCTTTAACTTTAGTCTTTTTCTTGTTTTCTTGCATTGTGATAATGTAGTCACTTGAGAAAGAGGAAAAGCTCAGGCTGCGGGTATATAGGAAGGGAATTTGTCACAAAGCTTTTTTCCTCTTTAATTCTGTGTAGTTTCTGGCTCAGCGCCTGTGGCTCAAGTGGCTAAGGTACAAGCCACATACACACCTAAGGTGGCAGGTTTGAATCCAGCCTGGGCCCACCAAAACAACAATGACGGCTACAACCAAAAAATAGCCGGGCGCTGTGGCGGGCGCCTGTGGTGGGCACCTGTGGTCCCAGCTACTT